TTATTATTATTATTTTTATTTTTTATTTTTTTTTTTTGGCACAAGTTGAAGATTTGTGAAGTTATCAACTCTTGACAGGTAGATGACTTTGGTTAAACAGAACAGCAACTAACTGGACTTTTTCAAAGTAATAATTAACATATTAAATTAAATTTTCCATCTCAATGAATATTACATCTACTTACTAGTTACACCTATTAATTAAATTTTAAATGCCTTTTTCTAGTCACAATATTATTTATTGCTCTGAACATATCAAAATAAACTCATTTAACCCATCTTAACATAACACATATTATTATTATTATTATTGTACTTGCTTGGATGTTAGCGTGATTAATGAGTAGATTAAACTTCGTTTATTGGATTGACTCGTCAAATCATCTAATTAACTCGTTTGATTAAAAAAGAAGAAAAAAAAAAATTAATTAATCTTTTAGTCCAAAACGCTAATCTTGAAAAAACAAATTAATAAAACAACGTTGTAGATTGTAACACGATAACATAAAGTTTACAAAACAAATATACAAAAAGTTACTTACCAAAAATCAATTTACTAACCGCAAATACAATTCGCATGTCAGATCAATTATTATAATCCGCTAATATAATCAATTATTCGCTATTTGCTATCCGTTAATAGCCTTTCAAGACTTGATACTTCTCATTGTACATTGAAAGACTTTAAAAAAACTTTATTATAGCAAAATAAATGTGACTTTTAGTTACAAGAGATCATATTAAAGGGGGAGATAAGGTGGTGCTGAGGTCAGTAAAGGAAGACAATACAATAAATATAATTCACATTATTACAGAAGAAAAAGGCCAAACTCAAAAGGAACATGAAAAAACAAACTCTAGCCAAAAAGCTTCCTTATATCTCTCCATAAAAACAACTATTTATGGACTTGTGTTCCTCAAAAAACACCTTCATTCTTAGCTAAACCTCTCATTCTTTCTGTTAAGAGACCTCTCTTTCTTTCTATCTTCCTCACATACACACACTTTTCGCGTAGAAACCGTTCGTGTTTTCTTTCTTTTTCCTTCCTATATATCGATAGTTCAATAATCTACTCATACAATATTTGAACTTCGGGTTTTTGGGTTTGTTTTGTGCAAGAATGGGAGATTTTTCCGATTTCGATACGAATGACGAGCCAATCGATTTGCCACCCGGGTTTCGATTCCACCCGACAGATGAGGAGCTCATCACACATTACTTGAATCCGAAAGTAATCGACAATAGCTTTAGCACGATCGCTATTGGTGAAGTGGACCTCAACAAGGTTGAGCCTTGGGATTTGCCATGTAAGTATAATAAATATAATTTGTAGCAAACTAAACCAACTTTTCTTTGTGAAAATTACGATAACAATTATGAAATCGTCATAACTTACGAGTCTATTTTATGTAATTTGTACTTGAAGGGAAGGCGAAAATGGGAGAAAACGAGTGGTACTTTTTCTGTATTAAGGATAGGAAGTATCCGACCGGTCAGAGGACTAACCGAGCTACAGTCGCCGGATACTGGAAGGCGACCGGGAAAGATAAGGAGATTTTTCGAGCCAAATTCTTGGTCGGGATGAAAAAAACTCTGGTTTTTTACCGAGGCCGAGCCCCCAAAGGGATGAAGACTAATTGGGTCATGCATGAATATAGAATGGAAAGGAAAAAATCTCTGCATAACAATAATAATAATGTTCCCAAAAATGATAAAGTAATCAACATTCCCTGTTTTCCCCTGTTTTTTTCCCTGTTTTTCCCCTGTCTTTGTGGATTGTTGAAGCTCATATTTTTTTTTTTTTTTTTTGACTTTATATTTGCAGAATGAATGGGTAATATGCAGAATTTTCAAGAAAACTTTTGAAGACAAACAAGATTACGGGGTCCCCGCAAATTGCGAAGAGGATTTACGAACATCCGATTTACCTCCACTAACGGACGTCTCATTTGATGAGAATTATACGAGCAATGCCTTTTCGTCTGAGGAATCATCTCGTGCAACGCATTTCTCCAAGCCTTCGGTGGACCCTGGGGATATTCCTCGTCGTGATTTTACTTCTAACTCGAGGAGTTGTGGTTTTTCGCCTCGTCCATTGATTATTCCTCGAGTTTCTAAGTCCGGCTCGGGTTTTTCGCCTCAAATGGTAGCTTGTGGAGGAAATCTCAAAGATTCAGATACGGTTTTCGCGCAAGATCAAGCGATGTTACGGGTTTTGCTCGATAACGGCTCGGAATTCATCGAGGGTTTTTCGTTTCAAGAAGTGGGGTTGAAGCCTTGTGAAGATGAAGAATTTCAGAATATTTTTAGTGGGAATTTGAATATTGATTGCCTGTGGAATTACTGAACTGGTGTCTCTGTAAAGCTTTAGAATCAAATTAGTATCATTTTCTGTAATTTTTTTCATTTCTCATATTTAATCTGTGGTATCTGGGAAGTATAAGTTTGGACATATTTCTATATTACATGATATAGTTTCATGTGTCTACGGGACACATGGGTTTGTACTTATTTATGATTTAGAAAGAAAATGAATGATTGAAAAAAACATAAATTTCATGCAACACTATTAAATTTGCATATGAGATGAATTTAGTCACTTAAATTTTAATAATGAACTAATTTGAATTGTACATTTTTAAGTTCAAATGTCTTTATATTTTACTCATGCTGATCTCAGATTTACTCGTGACTTAAGTTTAGTTTGTAAACAGTTTAGAATCCAGGGAAATTTACACATATAGATTCTCTATAATAAATATTTACACATAACAATTGCATATAATTTTTTATTAAAATATGATTTTAATGTGATCATTATTATATTTATACGAGATGAGATATACCACCTGCTAGTAATTTTCTCTCTCCATGCATTTATTTACGGCTAAATAGCCGCAAGCAATAAAGGAAAATCGGAAAAAAAAAACAAATCTTATACCTAGAATTA